TTTTTTTTTAAAGATTTTATTTATTTATTTGAGAGAGAGAGAGAGACAGCGAGAGAGGGAACACAAGCAGGGGGGTGAGAGAGGGAGAAGCAGGCTTCCTGTTGAGCAGGGAGCCCGATGCGGGGCTCAATTCCAGGACCCCGGGATCATGACTTGAGCCGAAGGCAGATGCTTAATGACTGAGCCACCCAGGCGCCCCTCGTTTGTTGTTTTTGAGTGTTACCTGTTTGTACAGACTTTTAATGATTGCTCAGGGTATTACACTTGTATAAGTGTAACCTATCACAGTCTACCAGTTGCCATTTTACCAGTTTGAGTGAAGTATAGAAACCGTACCTATCTTTACCATCCCCCATTCATAATAAAATTAATTTAAATATTACCTCTATGTACTTTTATTTTTTATTTATTTTTTTAAAGATTATATTTATTTAGAGAGTGAGAGAGAGTGGGAGAAGGGAAAGAGGGAGAGGGAGACAGAGAATCTCAAGCAGATTCTCCACTGAGCATGGAGCCTAAGTGGGGTATGATCTCACTACCCTGAGATTGTGACCTGAGCTGAGATCAAGAGTTGGAAGCTCAGGAGCACCTGGGTGGTTCAGTGGGTTAAGTGTCTGCCTTCTGCTCAGGTCATGATCCCAGAGTCCTGGGATCGAGCCCCGCATCGGGCTCCCTGCTCAGCGGGAAGCCTGCTTCTCTCTCTCCCACTCCCCCTGCTTGTGTTTCTGCCCTCGCTGTGTCTCTGTCAAATAAATAAATAAAATCTTAAAAAAAAAAAAAAAAGAGTTGGAAGCTCAGTCGACTGAGTCACTGAGGTGGCCCCTCCTCTGTGTACATTTAGAACCAAATCAGACAGTGTCATAATTTTATCTTCACCCATCAAACGTATTTTAGAAAGCCCAAGAAGAGAGGGAAAACCTATTGTATTTAATGATGTTTTTGCTATTCATGTTGTTTCTGTCTTTCTCATGTTCCAAAGTTTCTTTTGTATTGTTTCCTTTCTGTTTGAAGACCTTTTACAGACATTTTTTTATTTTTTATTTATTTATTTATTTATTTATTTTAAAGATTTTATTTATTTATTCATGAGAGACAGAGAGAGAGAGAGAGAGAGAGGCAGAGGGAGAAGCAGGCTCCCAAGGAGCAGGGAGCCTGATGCGGGATTCAATCCCGGGACTCTGGGATCATGACCTGAGCTGAAGGCAGACGCTTAACCACCTGAGCCACCCAGGCACCCTTTTTTTTTTTTAAAGAGTTAAAGGGAGAGAGAGCTCTCAAGGAGGGGAAGGGCAAAGGGGGAGGGAGAGAATCCCAAGCAGACTCTGTGCTGAGTGCAGAGCCCGTCATAGGATGCCGAGCCCACACAGGGCTGCATCCCAGGACCCCGAGATCATGCCCTGAGCCAAAATCAAGAGCCAGCTGCCTAACTGACTGAGCCACCCAGGTGCCCCACTTTTTAAAAAAGATTTTATTATTTATTCCAGAGAGAGAGTGCAAGAGTGGGGGGAGGAACAGAAGGAGAGGGACAAGCAGACTTGACGCTGAGCACAGAGCCTAATGTGGGACTTGATCTCACGACCCTGAGATCATGACCTGAGGCAAAATAAGTAGTCGGACACTTAACTATCTGAGCCACCCAGATTCCCCTACAGCCATTCTTTTAGTGTAGCTATATTGGTAACAAATTCTCTTAGTTTTCCTTTACCTGAGAACATCTTGATTTCCCCCACATTCCTGAAGAAGATTTTTTGGTCATAGGATTGTTGATTAAGAGGTGTTTTTCAGTACTTGAAAATAGTGTGCCATTTTCTCCTGGCCTTCCTGGTTTCTGATGAAAAATCTCCTTTTTATTCAGAGTGTTTTCCCCTTATAAGTAAGGTGTCATTTTTTTCTCTGACTTGAAAAGATTTTTTTCTTTGTCTTTAGTTATCAGAAGTTTAATTATGATGTGTCTTGGCATGATTTGGGGGCTCATCCTGTTTGGATTTGCTCAGCTCCTTGAATCTGTGGGTTTATGTCTTTTGCAAAATTTGGAAAGTTTTCAGCCATTATTTCTTTGAGTACTTTTGCAAGTTGCCTACTTTCTCCTGTCCACCTGGAATTCTGATAACATGAATGGGTGAGATGACTTCTCAAAGGCTTCCATCCAGCCTACTTGTCTGTGCTTTTTCAATTAGAATGCCTGGGTTCATACAATAAGCCAGACTTGATGATCTTCAATAGCTAATAATAACCCCTTTATTTTGGCTGAGGGATGCCCCAGCTTTCCCCAGCTGCCTCCAGGTATGGAGAGATGTTTTAACCTAAGTGCCTGTCTGTGTCCTGGGGAAAAAAGAGTTGGCAGCCACTCTGGCTATTTTGAAATCATTTCCTCTTCTTTCTTGTGTAATGTTCTCTTGACCTAGATGTCATGGAGCACTCATATACATTCAGAAAATACTTACCCGTGTAAAGGACTGTGGCAGACAGCAGCCCACAAGGAGTTAACAGAAGGGGCAATTCCTCATGGAACATAAATAACTGAGGGGCAGGTGCCACGGGAGGCCCTGTGATGCTGAGGGAGCTGGGGGGATGGTCCCAGTGGATATAGGGAAGAGTCATGCAAGATGTGGATTTCAGTGTGAATTCTGGACGGCCTGGTAGATGCCCCATGTGAAAATGGGAAGAAAGGACATTTCAGACAAATGGTGAAAGCCAAGTCACTGAGGTGGGATGTATTGGGCCAGGGGTTTTGAGAAGCAGTAACAGAAGAAGTGAGTTGACCCAGGCTCTGGAGGGCCTGAAATGCCCCCACTAAGGACCTAACTTGTATTTGGTAGGAATTAAGTATTTTTGTAAAAGCAGCTACATTGCTAGGATTGGGAAGGTTGAAGGGCCATGTGGGAGTGTCTTCCATCTGTCCCAAATATGGGTTCATTTCAAGAAGTAGGAGGAGGCTAATATTTGAGTACCTCTCTCTTATGTGGCAGAGAACAATCTCCATACACTTTCAGTTAATTTTCAACAAAAAACCCTAGTAGTGTTAGAGGGTAGTGTTGCCATTTTATAAGGGGAACACTGAGAGTTAAGTATCTGACCACAGAGACTGATTTCTTCTCTCCCAAGTTCTCTTCCTTGAATAGGAAGGACTATTCCCTGCCCAGAGAAGCTTCTCCCAGCTCCCTCAGTCGGGCACATTCTTTCTTCCTGCTTTCCTTCCACCAGACATTTGGAATGTTAGGAGGGTTCCTTAAAACCTGTTAAGGGTAAGATGGCATTTATACTCCTGGACCTCAAGATCACTTTTATCCTTGGGTAGCTCAGCCCGCATCTTCCCATCATTGCCTGGGGGAAGCATATACTCCCTTTTCATGCTCTCATTGTATCAAAGCTGGAAGGAACCTTAGAGACACTTAGTCCAACTCCTTATTTTTCTGGTGCAAGCTGGAGGCCCAGCGTGGCTAAATCTCTCATCCAACTCTACACATAACACAGGTTATGGCAGGGTTTGGTCCTCTCTGCCTTGCTGACCCTCTCTCAATGTTGTTATCTCCCCAGATCTTCAGCACCTACTTTTTCCATTTACCATATGATTTCCCTCTTACTGTGTTCTATTTGCCCCACATTTTTTTTTTTTTTTTTTTAAAGATTTTATATAGGGGTGCCTGGGTGGCTCAGCTGGTTGAGCGTCTGCCTTTGGCTCGGGTCGTGATCCTGGGGTCCTGGGATCGAGCCCCACATCGGGCTCCCTGCTCCGCGGGGAGCCTGCTTCTCCCTCTCCCGCTCCCCCTGCTTGTGTTCCCTCTCTCGCTGTGTCTCTCTCTGTCAAATAAATAAATAAAATCTTTAAAAAAAGATTTTATATATTTATTTGACAGAGCATAAGTAAGCAGAGCGGCAGACAGAGGGAGAGGGAGAAGCAGGCTCACCCAGCAGGGAGCCAGATGTGGGACTCGATCCCAGGACCCTGGGATCATGACCTGAGCCAAAGGCAGATGCTTAACAACTGAGCCACCCAGGCGCCCCCACAGTTTGTTTTTTAAACCTCCTTTGAGTTAGGAAAGAAAACCTGCTTCTTCCTTTGAAATTAGACTCATCTGTAGATAGATACCTATTGTCTTGCCTTCTTTCATTTGGATAATTTCTGTATGCTTTATAAAAATAGGGGCTTGGGGGCGCCTTGGTGGCGCAGTCAGTTAAGCTTCCGACTCTTGGTTTTGGCTCAGGTTATGATCAGGTGATCGGGTGGTGAGATTGAGCCCAGCACTGGGCTCCACACTTAGTGCTGAGTTTGCTTAAGTTCCTGTGTCTCTCTCCCCCTCAGCTCTCTCTCCCAAATAAATTAGTAAATCTTTTTTTTTTAAAGATTTATTTATTTGACAGAGAGAGACAGCAAGAGAGGGAACACAAGCAGGGGGAATGGGAGAGGGAGAAGCAGGCCTCCTGCTGAGCAGGGAGCCTGATGCGGGGCTCGATCCCAGGACCCTGTGATCATGACCTGAGCTGAAGGCAGACACTTAAGCGACTGAGCCACCCAGGCGCCCCTAAATAAGTAAATTAAAAAAAAAAAAGGGGGTGGTTTGGATTGAACTACTGCCCTATAGTTTGGTTCAAGAAGGAGGATATCCTAGTCTTGGAAAGTGCATTGGTAGCTTCCTGGTTGGCTGTCAGGTACAGGAACCCTGGATTGGGGATGCCTTCTTCAAGGCTGGGGAAACGGGAATGCGTGCAATGTGCTGTAGTCCGAGGATCAGGGTAGCTAGCGCCTCTGGAGCTTCATGGAGCAGCGTGCTGTGTAGTCTCTGGTGTGGTATACAGAGCACTGTCAGAGGCCCCAGACACATCCTGCCACCCAGGAGAGACTGATCTTAGGCAGGCTAACGTCACCTCTCCAGACCTCAGCTTTGCTGTCTGTTAAGTGGTGATAATAAGACCCACTCCACAGGGCTGGCAAAGTATCGCTGTGCCAGTCGTGGACCGTAAAGGTAAGGGGTTATTGTTGCTGTCATTGTCATTATTAGGGCAGCGTGGACATTCTCAGGCTGGCTCTACAGAGTGAACTGACAGGAGATGAACTTGAACACTTAGCCCAGAAGGTATCAAGGTTTCTGGTGGGGTGAGACCTCTCCCTCAGCCAGTTCTCCTTCCTTGCTGCTGACTTCCCGTGCCAGTGCTGCATGGAACCATCTCTGCTGCCGCTCAGGATCACCTCCTTTCAGACACACCACCTGACCTCCTCACTGTGCACTGCTTTGGGGGATGGGGAGACCCCACTAAAAGTAAAACTAACTGCAATTTCTGCTAATTTCCCCTGTCCGGTGTTGCTGCTGTGTGGCTTCTGGTAGAGGTTCTGAAATGAATTTTTGGCGGGGACAATCAGACTAACCCTTTACATCTTCTGAGGAGCAGAAGTTCTGGGCTTGTCATGATTTCTGAGCCATTTCTCTCTCTCTTTCTCTGTCTGGCAGGCGGGCAGGAAGACCTATGCCATGGTGTCTGGCCGCTCAACCAGTCATTCCCTGGCCTCAGAACTGGTGGAGTCCAATGATGGCCATGAGGAGATCATTAAGGTAAGCTTTGTTCACCTCCACTCTTTCTCTCTCCCCTCTTTCTCCTGACAGGCATGTGAGAGGGAGCAGTGGACTTTGCCACAGGGTTTGACTGTGGTTTGACTAGGAGGAACCAGACCTGTAATGCTAGTTCCTGGGTATTTTCCTGGAAAGATCTTAATTAACACCAGGAGACCATAGTCCGTGTATAGTGACTTTGGTGCAATTCAGCCGTAGGCATGAGGATGGATGAGATGACCTTTCTAGGTGCCTATCCCACTATCCATACTTAGCTGCTGGAGGTTGTGGAGGCAGGTGGGAGGTGTGGTTAGGGAACTTACTATTTTTTTTTTAATAGAACGATTTTTGTTACTTCCTTTTGTAACAGCTCTTTGAGACATAATTCACATACCATACAATCGATTCAGTTAAAGTGTACAATTCAGGTTTTGAGTATGTTCACAGATTGTGGCAGTCATCACCACTATTAATTCCAGAACACTTTTCAGTCACTCTTTCCTGCTCCTGGCAATCACCAGTCTATTCTCTGTCTCTGTGGGTTTGCCTTCTCTAGACATCTCACGTAAATGGAATCCTAGAACATGTGGCCTTTGTGTCTGGCTTCTTTCACTTAGCATAATAGTTTCAAGATCCAGCCATGTTGTAACATATGTCAGTACTTAATCCTTTTAATGGTTAAATAACATTCCCTTGAATGGATATATCACATGTTGTTACCCACTCATCAGTTGATGAACATTTGGGTTGTTTCCACTGTCTGGCTATTATGAATAACACTACTATGAATATTCAAGTGAAGGTTTTTGTGTGAACGTATGTTTTCAGTTTTCTTGGTATCTACCTAGGAGTGGAATTGCTAGGTCATTTGGTAACTCTATATTTAATCTTTTGAGGAACTACCAGAGTTTTTCTCAAAACATTTGTTCTATTTTATATTCTCACCAGCAATGTAGGAGGGTTCCAGTTTCTTTGTATCCTTACCAACACTTGTTATTATCTGCTTTTTGATTATAGCCATCCTATTGCATGTGAAGCCATATCTTGTGGTTTTCATTTGCATTTCCCTGATGACATGCTTTCATATGCTTATTGCCTATTTGTGTATCTTCTTTGGAGAAATATTTATTCAAATCCTTTGCCCATTTAAAAATTCAATTGTGGGGCGCCTGGGTGGCTCAGATGGTTAAGCGTCGGCCTTCGGCTCAGGTCATGATCCCAGGGTCCTGGGATCGAGTCCCACATCAGGCTCCCTGCTCCTTGGGAGCCTGCTTCTCCCTCTGCCTCTCTCTCTCTCTCTCTCTGTCTCTCATGAATAAATAAATAAAATCTTTAAAAAAAAAAAATTTCAATTGTGTTGGGCGCCTGGGTGGCTCAGTCGTTAAGCGTCTGCCTTCGGCTCAGGTCATGATCCCAGGGTCCTGGGATCGAGTCCCGCATCGGGCTCCCTGCTCTGCAGGGAGCCTGCTTCTCCCTCTCCCACTCCCCCTGTTTGTGTTCCTGCTCTCGCTGTCTCTCTCTCTGTCAAATAATTAAATAAAATCTTTAAAAAAAAAAAAATTCAATTGTGTTTAAAGAGTTTATGTGTAGGTACAAGTAATGAATGTGGCCGCACTTTCTCCATGGTGTTACCCTCGCTATATTTGAATTTTTAAATAGCAGTGAATAGTCCAAAAGACTTTTAATGATAATTAATTAAATTTGCGAAAAAGAGTTTGGACATATGAATATTATAAATAAAACATTGTCATTTTTGTTAAGTCAATTGTGTTTTAATTTTTGAGATGTAAGTGTTCCTTATATATTCTGGATACTGACTAGGTCCTTATAATATATGACTTGGAAATATTTTTTTTGTAACTTTAAAAAAAATTTTTATTGTTATGTTAATCACCATACATTACATCATTAGTTTTTGATGTAGTGTTCCATGATTCATAGTTTGTGCATAACACCCAGTGCTCCATGCAGAATGTGCCCTCTTTAATACCCATTACCAGGCTAACCCATTCTCCCACCCTGACTTGGAAATATTTAAAAAAAATTTTTTCCCACTCTGTGTTTTGTTTTGTTTTTCACTTTCTTAATGATGTCCTTTGAAACAAAAGTTTTTAATTTGATGAAATCCAATTTATATATATTTTTTCTTTTATTGTGTTTTTGGTGTCCTATCTAAGAAGGTTTTGCCTAACCCAAGGTCACAAAGATTTATTCCTGTGTTTTCTTCAAAGAATTATGGTTTTAGCTCTTATGAATAGGTCTATGATCCATTTTGGGTTAATTTTTGTGTATGGTATAAGGAAGAGGTCCAGTATCATTCTTTTCCATGTGGATATCCATTTATTTATTCAGGTTTTTAGTATGTTTACAGATTGTGCAGTCATCACCACTGTTAATTCCAGAACACTTTCAGTCACTCTTTCCTGCTCCTGGCAATCACCAGTCTATTCTCTGTCTCTGTGGGTTTGCCTTCTCTAGACATCTCACGTAAATGGAATCCTAGAACATGTGGCCTTTGTGTCTGGCTTCTTTCACTTAAACCAGCATCATTTGTTGGAAAGACTGTTCTGTCCCCATTGAATTGTCTTGGCGTCCTGTCAAAAACCAGTTGAGTGTATTCTTATTGTTTCTGGACTCTCAGTTGTATTCCACTGATTCGTGGGTCTTCTCCTTATGCCAGTTCCACACTGCCTTGATCACTGTAGCTTTGTTAATATTTATTAATATTTGTAATTTTGTTATTTTTCAGGATTGTTTTAGCTATTCAGAGTCCTTTGTATTTCCATATGAATATGAATTTTAGGATCAGTTTGTCAGTTTCTGCAAAGAAGCCAGCTTGGATTTCGATAGGAATTATACTGAAACTGTAGATCAATTTGGGGAGTATTACCATCTTAACAATACTAAGTTTTCCAATCCACGAAAATGGGATGTTTGTTCATTTTTTTAGGCCTTCTTGTATTTATTTTTTTTTAAGATTTTATTTATTTATTTATTTGAGAGAGAGAGAGAGAGAGAAACAGCATGAGAGGGGAGAGGGTCAGAGGGAGAAGCAGGCTCCTTGCCGAGGAGGGAGCCCGATGTGGGACTCGATCCCGGGACCCTGGGATCATGACCTGAGCCGAAGGCAGTCGCTTAACCAACTGAGCCACCCAGGCGCCCCAGGCCTTCTTTTATTTTTTTGAACAATATTCTATAATTTTCAAAATATAAGTCTTGAACTTTGTTAAATTTATTTCTAAGTATGTTTTCTTTTTAAAATTTTTATTTAAATTCAGTTTAGTTAACATATAGTGTATTATTAGTTTCAGGGGTAGGACTTAGTGATTCTTCAGTTGCATATTATAACACACAGTGCTCATTACATCAAGTACCCTCTTTAATGCCCATCACCCAGTTACCCTATCCCCCCCTCCGGCAGCCCTCAGTTTGTTTCCTAGAGTTAAGAGTCTCTTTGGTTTGTTTCCCTGTTTTTATCTTATTTTTCCTTCTCTTCCTCTATGTTCATCTGTTTTGTTTCTTAAATTCCACATATGAGTGAAATCATATGGTATTGGTCTTTCTCTGACTTATTTCATGTAGCATAATATACTCTAGCTCCATCCACATAGTGTTTTTTCTTTTTGTTGCTATTGTAAATAGAATTGTTTTTAAATTCCATTTCGGATTGTTCCTTGCTAGTGTATAGAAATACAGTTATTTTTTGTATATTGATCTTTTTTTTTAAGATTTTATTTATTTATTTGACAGAGAGAGAAAGACACAGCGAGGGAGGGAACACAAGCAGGGGGAGTGGGAGAGGGAGAAGCAGGCTTCCGGCTGAGCAGGGAGCCCGATGTGGGGCTCAATCCCAGGACCCTGGGATCATGACCTGAGCCCAAGGCAGACCTTAACGACTGAGCCACCCAGGTGCCCCTTTTGTATATTGATCTTAAATTCTACAACTTGCTACAGCCTCTGATAGTTTTGTAGTGGATTCCTTAGGGTATTCTATATAAATGATCACTTCATCTATAAATGGAGGTAGTTTTTCCTCTTTCTTTTTTTTTTAAAGATTTTATTTATTTATTTGAGAGAGAGAGAATGAGAGATAGAGCGCATGAGAGGGAAGAGGGTCAGAGGGAGAAGCAGACTCCCCGCTGAGCGGGGAGCCCGATGCGGGACTCGATCCCAGGACTCCAGGATCATGACCTGAGCCGAAGGCAGTCGCTCAACCAACTGAGCCACCCAGGTGCCCTCCTCTTTCTTTTCAATCTGAATGCCTTTAATTAATTTCTTTTTCTTATTTAAAGTAATTGCAGGGCCCTTAAAGAAAGCAAAACTACCCCATAATTCTTTCGATGTAATCATTGTTGTTACTACTTTATTGTGTATCCTCTCAGACATTTTCCTATATATGTGTATTTTTTCAAAAGTTCGATTGTATTATATATATTCTGTTCTACAATTTGCTTGCCCCCCCCCACACTTTAGTGCTTTAATGTTGGTTTATAACATCTTCTGTGTCCATAAATGTAAATGTCTGGTATTCTAATGGCTGCACAGTATGCTATTATAGACATACCACAGTATAAGTAATCCCCCATTGTGGGACATTATGCCTATTTCCATTTTTGCATTCGTAAACAATATTTTGCTGAACATATGTTACTAAATTGTGTATGTGTTCTATAATACATGTAATAAATATTTTCTTAATTGTAAAGGATTGAAGCATGTATAGAGAAAAATGTGTAAATCTCTTTTTACAACTTCATTTGCATAAATTTACATATATATGCAAGTGTTTATGCCAGTTTGGCTAAATTTACTTCCTTAGGATAAATTTCCAGAAGTAGATTTGATAGGTCAAGGAGTAAGTATAGTTCTAAGCCTTCTGATTTGAATCGTCGAATTGGCACACAGAAAGGCAGTAACAATTGACCTTCCCAGTGGCAGTATATGAGCCTGCCTGTGTGGCATTAACTGACCAGGAGGTTCCTTACCTGAATAGTATTGTTTTCCTTGTTGCAGGTGTACTTGAAGGGGAGGTCTGGAGATAAGATGATCCATGAGAAGAATATCAAGCAGCTGAAGAGTGAGGTGCAGTACATCCAGGAGGTAGGCACCCCTCCCTCTCAGGCAACTTCCCATTTTTTTGGCTCCCTTCTTTTTTTTTTTTAAAGATTTTATTTATTTATTTGAGAGAGAGAATGATATATAGAGAGAGAGCATGGGAGGGGGGAGGGTCCGAGGGAGAAGCAGACTCACTGCTGAGCAGGGAGCCCGATGCGGGACTTGATCCTGGGACTCCAGGATCATGACCTGAGCCGAAGGCAGTTGCTTAACCAACTGAGCCACCCAGGCGCCCCTTTGGCTCCCTTCTTTTGTGGGGTCTGGTTCTCTCCCATCTGCTCCCTTCATACCCAAAGTGCCACCAGGCCCCTTGAGTCAAGTATCATTTCCGACCCTTCCAATAATCAGCTAATCCATTCATCAACACATATTTATTGATTACCGTGTGCCCAGCACTGTACCCCGGCCATCGTCTCTAAAACTGCCAGTCTCTTTTCCCCAGCTTTTCCTGACCCTCCCCCTGGCTCCTGTTGGCTCCTTGGCACTCGTCGTCATGTAATAACATATTACATGTTTCACATGTTTGCCTTTTGTGTTGTATGTTTCTGCAATAAGAATGTTAGCTCCGGCAGGGCAGGGTTTCCTGTTTGTGTGGGAGGGACTTGCCTGGGGTCCCTCCTTCCCCCAGCCAGTGCTAAGGACAGTACCTGGCTCCTAGGAGTATGGGTCGGGGATAGGCACAAAGCTGGGTGAGGTGGTAGGCTCTCTTGCCTTTTTCCCAAAGCTAAGGCTTCTTGCCCTCCCCTCCCAGGCCCGGAACTGCCTGCAGAAGCTCCGGGAGGACATAAGTAGCAAGCTTGACAGAGATCCAGGAGATTGTCTCCATGGACAGGAGATACAGGTAATAGGAAATGGTCAATGGAAGAGGTTGTGCCGGGTAGTCCCGTTTACGTCACGCAGTGGGTGATTCGGCACTGCGATTCTCCGGGAATGGCATGAATACAGGCAATGTTGGCTTCTCAGAGCGCTCACGACTTTAGCAGTGCTCTCCAGCAGGTGGGCACTTGCATTTACACATATCAGCCTATGCAGAAGTATACCTGTTCCGAAAACACTGTGTAAAAATGGAATTCATGTAAATAAAACTACCATGAAGTTATTGGTAAAACCTCTTCTCTGTGAGGATTCTGCGATCAGTCTTTTTGCAACACAGTGTCTGCTTTAGCAGACTACCTATAAATGCAAACTTCTCATAAGTCGATCATACTAAATTGGGGTGACACTGTGGTGTGAATTGGAGGTCTTGGTCCTTGTCTGTTATTTGTGTATGTAGCGGTCTCTGCCCTGGCACGAGAAGCTCCTCGAGGTTAGGGTTCACCCCCACCCCTGTCTGTGTATCCCCACACTCAGCACAGGGTCAAGGATGCAGAAGGTCATCAGTAAATGTCATATTGAACCTAGAGGCAAGGTCTTCTTGAGATGGGTGGATAACCCTGGGATCTTGCTTTTCAGCTTTTCTAAAATTGGAGGCTAGGGGCGCGTGGGTGGCTCAGTCGTTAGGCGTCTGCCTTCGGCTCAGGTCATGATCCCAGGGTCCTGGGATCGAGCCCCACGTTGGGCTCCCTGCTCCGCGGGAAGCCTGCTTCTCCCTCTCCCACTCCCCCTGCTTGTGTTCCCTCTCTCGCTGTGTCTCTCTCTGTCGAAAAAAAAAAAAACTAAAAAAAAAAAAAAAAAAATGGGAGGCTAGAACTGACCTCAGGAGAACAGACCTGTCTCTTCCATTTCACCCTCCTTTAGAGGCTGAGTTATAGCTCCTTTATTTGCATTTGGTTCGGGGAGGGGGTAGTCTTCCTCCAGTAGCCCCTGCCCTCGTTCTCCTGAGGGAAACCGTGACCTGGCAGCTAGAGGCGGCAGGGCTCCTCTCTGGCATGAGCGTGCCCGAAACTTGTGTGGCCATTCCCCCTAACTCGCTTTGCTGTGACTGAAGGTAGAACTTTCACTGCCCGAGCTCACATCTGGCTGCTGGGAGGTGCTTTGTCGGGTGACTGAAGAGCCTGATGTGCTCAGAGACTGGCCCAAAAGTCCAGGGCCCTTGCTTGCACAGACCAGCAGTCATATGATGAATAATCAGGCTATGGGTTGGAAAGGATTGCAGCAAAGGCCACTTCACCTTTCGCTTTCTGCTTCGTCAAACCTCGTCAGGATCCCCGAGGGGCAACGGGAGCTCTTTGTTGGTGGCAGGCAGCTGCTTGTATCCCCTGGGCTTCCAGGAGTCAGCCTGCATGTTTTCCTGTCTGCTGAAACGGTTTAGCCTGAGGCTCCCTGCATCCTCCCTGCAAGGCTACAGTATTCCTTTCAAGGCCACACACGTTTCTCCACTCCTTCTCCTCTCCATTTTGCACAGAGCACTCGGTCTTTTTTCCCTACCTACCTGCCTACCTGCCTTCCTACTTTCCTTCCTTCCTTTTCTTCTTCCTCTTCCTCCTTCACTTCCCCTTCCTCTTCTTTCTCTATCTTCTCCACCTCTTTCTTTTATTCTAAGATTTGAGATCTTAGGAGATTAATGTTTCAAAGTTGGTTTTTTGGGCTGTTTTAACTACCAGTTTTATTTTCCTTTGAACAGGTGGTGTTAGAAAAGCCCAATGGATTAAATCCAAGCTCCACGAGCCCATATAGCAGCTCACCTGAGGTAGGTAACGGGGAAAACAGTGGTAACTACTTCATAGCCAGGAGGCAGGATATTCTCCTCCCCTAGCCCCTTGTTATCACTCTTTCTCTCTCACTAAATATAAGAGTAACATTTGCTGTAAAAATTCAAACAGTGGAGAAACATACAAACCGGAGATTCTCCTTCCCCAGTTCCACTCCTTTAAAGGATCCACTGTGAACACATTGAAGTGGGTGGATCCTTTTAGAGCTGTGCTCTTGGCCTTCGCTGCTGATTGGAATGGCCCTGGGAGCCTTAAGGAGATGAGCCTGGTGCCAGCCCCAGAGATTGTAATTTAATTGGTCTGAGATGTGGACTGGGCATCGGGACTTTAAAAAGCTCTTCGGGGGGGGCAC